TATCCATTTAGCCTTTTGTGAGTTACATTTTCCTTTTTCTCATAAAAATTATTTTTATCCGTTTATCACTGGAACTGTTTAGGACAAAAACATTGTATGTACATATCTTACTCTAACTTGTAGAGTAATTTGTGTTTAATTTTCTTATTCACAGACACATTAAGTAGACCATAAGCTGTTTGAATGCATATTTGTTTACTCTGTACCCCCATCACACTACATGATATAGCACAGGGCAGCCAGGATCTGTAGAAATCTGTTGGGGATAAGAATTAAGTAAGAAGTCCTTTACTTCAGTCTCCTTCCTCAAATAGGATGGTACTTAAATTATTCCCTTCAGTATTCATTCAAAAAGTAATTTAAAATGTTAGTCTAGAACTCAATAAAGAATGGAGAGATTTGAGAGCACTCTCAATGAAAACTGGAGCAGAAACTCAAAGAAGAGTTTTCCTGACTAGTTCTGAAGCATTTGAAGAGAGAGGGAAGGAGAAAACCTGAATTATTTGCAAGTAAATGTCTGCATTGGGAAGTTGAGGGGAGAGAAAGGAAACAGAAAAAGATGAAAAGAATGGCCAAAGAAGCTAAACAAAATTAAGAGAATACGTCAAGGAGGACGCAGTGAAAGATAATCACAAGAAGGCGGTGTTAGCAGGCAACTCTGCTGTGTGGTAAGGAAATGCAAAAGCCATTGGTTTGATGAAAGGACCAGTGACTTTTAAGAGTGTTTCTTCCAAAGGTGGGTGGGAGCATAATGGTATCTCATTGTTTGAGATCTCTTAATGAATTTCTAATAAAAGACTTCACAAGTTAGCACCGTTTACCTACACAAAGTGTTTGGAACTGTAAAACTGTAAGCCCTACAGAAAAGAAACCTCGTATTTCTTAGCAATAGGACGTGGTCCAGCACAGTATTAGGCATCCAGCATATATACAGTAAGTATTGTTTATTACTGTTTAATTGACCGTCGTAGCCCCAAGGAACATGGTGTTGAAGTAGGCCCTGGGAGGGTGTCTTGGAGATGAGCGAGCCTGGCCCCCCACCACACTGCAGTGGAGAAGCTGAGAGGGGGATGATGCCAACGGTACTGCAGTGGTGCATGGGTAAGCTGCCCTTAGCCATGGTCTGAGTCAACAGGGAAGAAAACCCAGTGAAGTGGATAGAGAGTACATTGGCCCCGAAAACAGATTTGGGTGAAGCATGTCACAAAAACATCTAAATTTTAGCTCACAAGATAAGGACAAGCATCGCCGATATGTATGTGCATAAATAGATATACACCATCACAGACATGGGGAAGACACTGGGCAAGATGTCTTGGGACTTGTTGGATAGGAAACAGTGGCAACTGGACAGCGGAAGGAGGAATGAGGGCCAGAGTAGGGGGAAATAGGTAAGGAAAAATTGGAAGAAATGGGAACAAAAGGTTAGAGGTGCAGCATGTTGGCTTGAAATGATGGGTTGGTTTTTACTGAGCACAAGTTTTAGAATTCAAAGCTCAAGTGTCAGTTACTATGATTCACTTCTTTCAAGTTAATTTACAGCAGTAGTTTTGGGGGATTTTTTTTACTAAGTATGAAGTTTAAGAATCTAAGAATTCTGTTTTTAGGAACCTCATGGTGATGATCTTTTTTTTTAATTTGAAATGTCACTTTATCAAAACCTACTGTAAAGAAATGGCTCAAAAATTAAGCCCAATAGAAGAAATTAAATTTCATTTCTCCACATATCTCAGGCATGAACCAATCACTGTACTCCTTGCCTACCCTTAAGAAATCGGGGTTTGTGCTGAATGCGACCTACATAATCAAATCCACAATATAATTATAATGCCCTCTGATGTTACGTCACAGCTCCCTTTCCAACCACAAAAATGTTAACTTCTTACGTACCAAATACTGAAAGAGGGAGGAACAAAGGCTTGTTATGGTTGACAGTCCAGAAGGATTATACGACGCCGTGAGAACCGTGCCACAAGACTGGCGGGAGGCATGGCACCGTGGCCCAGGGGATGGAAACGCGAATGGGCCATAAGCATCAGGAATTGAGAACAACTTTCCTAAGTGAGGCCATGGTCCAGATTCCACTCAAGCCAGTCAACTCTGGATGGAAAAAAGCAGGCTCAGCTCACAAAGAGAAGGTCCATATTTGAATATTATTCTACCCCAGGGCAATGACATGGCCTTGTGCCATGATTACTCATTAGAACAGCAGCCTGAGGAGACAGCTTCTAGAGAAGCTCCACTCAGCATCCAAGCGGTGGGACGGGGGCAGCTGGAGAGCCCTCGGTCAGCCTGATGCTTCCGCGTGAACTACACCGCAGTCTGGGCTGGGAGCACGTCTGCTCTCTGATCATCCTCAGTGATCTCAGTTTAGTCATTACGTTCATGAGGGATGTCAAGACAACTGCCCCATCACTATGCCACCATATTAAAAAGCATAAGTGTTTGGAGAATGGCAATGTCTATTCTGAATTCTGACTTCTGGCCCTCAATCTGCCAATCTGCCACTAACTATACCTTTTTTTTTGCAAGCACATTGTTCATTTATAGCTATAGCACATCTAATAAAAGTGTATTTTATTTGGTGCTCCCATCAACCAAATATCTTAGATTTAAGGATAAGAGGTATAATTTTTGAATAATAGAATAATAATCTTAGAGCTCATGAGACACTATCCCATTTTACAGATCAAGTATGAGGCCTTTCTCTCTAATTCTGAGACACCACCCACATCCTAGTACACCATTTTGAACAAACCAACTAAATACAGTCTCCTGACACTTTTGACTAGCAATAAAAGCACCACATGGAAAATAGGAATATGATCAGAATCCGCGTGAGAATGTCATTTAAATGAAAATCCAAGAGTATCTTGAAAGGGGGAAAAAACATTCAAACTGAAGATTGAGTGTATTAATAACAGCAATTAAACTCTTTGGGGACCTTATTTCTCTCAGTTATTTCCAATGATCAGGTTTTGAGAAAATTCAAACCAGGCCACTGACTTTGCTAGGGTAAAAAAAAAACAAAAATGCCCTTTAAAAAAAAAATGTGGATCCTGCTACATATCACGGTATGTAATGACCAAATGAAGTACATGTGAACGTTCAACAAATGAGAAAATGTATTACTCCAAATATCAGGGGAGGAGACCTAGGAAACCAGTTATGTATTATTCTATAATATATAGATTATACTGAATATACCGTTAAATATATGATACTTGCCTTCTGTATATTACCTCATTTAAAAGTCAGATAATAAAAAGTTATATCTAAACAGAAATTAATTTCCCTCACAGCTCTAGCTTTGAAAATATACTGCAATTACATCCACAAGCGAACAGCCACAATCCAGCAGCTCGTGCAGTTTTGTGTGGCTTTTGGGGGCCGTTCCTTACAGAGGCTGTCCACTAAATGAGGAGGCAGGAAAGAAAAGATCACCTTCTAAACTTATAAAGTACAATTAGAGAACTCACAGCATAAAAGTTTCTTAAAGCACAGAATAACAGCATTAGGGTTTTTTTCCTAATAAAATTAAAAAGTCTCATCATCTAGTTTAAATGAGAAAGTACTATCATTGCCACTTCGGTAACTCATGTCTCGAAGAAGGGAAAAGAGATATCACTCTAATTTTTTTTTAACTTGACTGGACTATAAACGTTTTTTAATTATTTCCTGCTGTAAAGTGTATAATTGACCTAAAAAGGCTCACAACGCAGGGAGAAAATCCGCGCTATGTTTTCCATGCTGGGAGACAGCTCTTTTGTTTCCCTCCTATCACCTTGTAACAGTTCCATGCATCAATTCATCCCCAGGTGAGCAAGGGCCTAAAATAGGCTCTACTGTTTCATCAACTGCAAATTTGCCTGGGATCATGAACCTGCTTCATTAGGTTAGTTCAAAAGCTCTTCGAGGTAGTGCCTGAGTCTCCTTCCAGGCCCTCCCCTCCAGCACGCACACACACGTACACACACACGCACACACACACGTACACACACACGCACACACACATGCACACACACATACGCTCGCGCGCGCGCGCGCGCGCCAACGCAAAATGCCCCAAGATGAGTGGTGCCTTGATGTCCTCACATAGTTGATTCCCTGCTTATTGCCACCACCCCCACTTGCCACTCCCATTTTCTCACCCTGTCCCGACTTGCAAAGCAGCAGTTAACAAAGACGGGGCAGTTAACAATAGAGTATGTATATGAACTCCGTGTGTGTTTGTGTGCGTGTGTTACACAGGGAGTTTTATTTAGTGGGGAAGAAGTTAAACACATTCCTCGCTTTAAAAATATTTTGTTAACTAATTAGACACATCAACTCAGAAACTAAGTATCTGGCAGATTAGTAAGTATGCCTTGCTTCACGTGAGTGAAACAAATTTCAAGTGTCTGTGTAGTGGGCAGCATTCAAATTAGCATTCAAACGAGAGAAGGGGTTTAAGGTGTGTCTTAAACTTCGGATTTGGCCGTTTCTCGAGCCTTTCCAGGGCTCGCGGCTCTGCAGACGCTGACCGTCGGCCGGCACTGGGAGGAGCAAGCCCACATCCTACCTAGAATCCCAGCTGAGGGTCCTCAGCCAGCAAGCCCGGGGCAGGCCGAGAAAGGATGGGGAAACGAGCCCCTGCTAGCCCCCTAGGCTGCCTTACTAGCTCGCTTCCCCGCCCAGCCGCAGACACACCTACCAGTGCAGGTCGTACAAAGAGCAAAGTGGTGCAGGAGCTCTGTGCACATGCACGCAGAACACAAAAGCTTCCCCCCTTTGGCTCACCGAAGGGCACCCCGACGACCCTGACCTGGCCCCCCAACCCACAGAATATGCCTCAGTTTGCCTCCAGACCAATCGGTTTTGAAAGCAGCCCCTACAGCGAAGACGGCATGCAGCCTCTCTCCCACCACCACCGCCGCCGTCTGCAGGCCCCCAGAAGTGGCGGGCTGGGGGGAAGCTGGGTGGCCGGCCCCTCGGGGTGCCGCGCGCCCCTGCTTACTTACTTTGAGTTGCAAACGTGCGGCGGGCGCGCGGCTGCCTTTGTTGCCAGGGGCGAGGTTTCCGCTCGGGGGCCAGGTGGCCGGTGGTTGCTCGCGCCGCGGCGGCTGCTGCCTTCCTGCGGGCCGGGGACTCGCGGGGCTCCGGCCTCCCCCCTCTCGCCTCTGGGTCTTCCCCTGCTCGGCGCCTGCCCTGGCGGGATTTTCGGACTGCGAGGCGGGGAAGCTGCTCCTGCCGGGGACTCCCTCGCGCCCAGCCGGGGAGGAGACGGAAGCGAAGTGCAGGCGCGGAGGCAGGCGAGGCGCGGGCTGGGCGAGGGGGGGAGCGCGCTGGCCCTCGCGAGCTGATTGGGGAGCTCATTAAAAGCGGAATGCTCCCGGGGCAGTCGCTCCCCTTAGGAGCCCGCGCGCGCCCCAGAACCCAGAGGCCAGGGATGAGACGTTTTTGTTTTTTGCAGAGACCGACACAGTATTTCTCTTCCTAACTTTATGCACGCATGACCTGTTGTATAGGTGGGTACACACCCAACCCAGTGTATCAAGTACCCGTCTTAGATCGACAAGTGATGGCATTTCAGGTTACAATGTTGGCCCCAGTTTTTTGTTTTTTTTTTTTTTTGTTGATACTCTGAATGAAACAGCAAGGTGTTCGGAACCAGCCTCTCTCATCGCTCCCACCCGCACACACCCGCCCTCCACGCCGCTCCAGTGCCTTCAGCTGTCACCTGCACGTCACGAATGTGCAAAGCCCTTTTTTTGCGCTTGTCACAAAGAGTGACAGATGCCTGAAAGTTCCCAATTAAATGCCACTTTGCTTTAGAGGGTTCTTTCCTTTTTTGGCTTCCTCCGTGCCTTTCGTGACCTATTTAGTAACAGGCTTTTGACGCGCAAGAATTTGGGAGATTCGTCAATGTAGCTTCAGCTGGAGTCTGTAAAACTCAGAGCTGGGCTTCCTGGCTTTGTGGAGGTTTTATTTTGTTTAATAAAAGGATGACGCTAAGGTAATATATCCAGGGTTGTTTCAATAATCCTCCATGGATATTCATGACATAGATGCGATAAAAAGTATTGTGTATAATGACTAAGAAGTATATAGCAAATTTACCCATTCTCAAAAAGTAAATGTTGAGATTTTCTGCCGCTTACCCGTTCTTTCCTGCCCGTCATCTTGCTCCTTTTACTTCCTCTCAGCTTATCATTTGATGGTGTCCTTCCCCAAAATGGTTGCAAAACATACTTCCATTTCCTGTGGCTCTGAGGTTACATCCCTTCAATTCAATTCAATAATTATCTAGTAAGTGCCTTACATAACTCAAAATTTACATTTTTTTAGAACCATATCTAAGCCCCCAAATTAGAAGCATTGTTTTGTGGCAGGTAACTCTTAGGTACTTTGGGTTCTTACATTGACTGACTGCTCCCGGGACAAATGTCCCACAGAGGTGGCAGCTGGGGGACACAGAGGTGTCTCTACAAATAGAGCTTTTAATCAACCAAGTGATCGACCAATTTTTTTCAAAAGGAGAGTCATTGAACATTCATTCACACATCTCCACAGCCTATCCCCATAATCAAACCCTCCATACGCCTGCCACGTACCATCCTACAATGAATGAAATGAATAAGGAATGATCCTTCTTCTACCCACAGAATTCAGCTCATGTGTAGACTCTTTCCCTGTTGTGGTTCCATTTTCCCAATGATGCAAGCAATATTTGTTTTAATCAATTTTACCTGTACAAATCGTAGTGGAATACATATCATGTATTATTATTATTTCTTTTCTGAAGTCCTTTATTGAAAGAGACTTCTTACTATTCAGTATCTTATTCCATAGGAATGCCAGTTCCAGGCCATTAAACAAGGGATTATCCATTTTCCATTTCTTCCCAAACTTTACCTTAACATTCATAAATGTAACTCATTGCTACCAGTAGGACGGTGCTTACCTATCAGTTGATATAGTATGAATGAGATTTTCATGTTTTCTACTCCATTACATGTATTAGTTCATCATATCAAAAATATAACCCTTTATTCAAAAAGGAATATGGGAAAATAATTTACATCAATGGTCCTCAACCAGGAGCAATTTTGCCCCCACCCCCCCCAGGGGACATTTGACAATGCCTGGGGACATTTTTGGTTATCACAACTCTGGGCAGGGGATTGCTACTGGCATCCAGTGAACAGAGGCCAACAACTCTGGTTAACCTCCTACGGTGCAAAGCAAGCCCCAAAACGAATAATTATTTGTCCCCAAATGGTTATAGGGCTGAGATTGAGACCATCATTACCAATTATTAACTAACTGACTGATTATTAACTAACATTATCAACCATTGTATTTTTAAAATATAAGGGAAGTTTCAAGAAGTTTTTTCTTTAAGACATAGAAATCCATCAGGTTGAAATGAGTCGCGATTTAATTCAACTGGCATTTACACCAAAATTTAAGTAGAAGGTATTTTCTAATACACATTGAGTATGTCCAACTTCAAATCCAAACTTCATCCTATAGCCTAGTCATGGAGCTGTTAATTCAAGATTTCATGTCATTTCATTCATTTAGCAACATTCTTTGAACTCAAGCCTTCGAGTGATTAAAGCATGAATAAAAACATGAAAATTCCTACTTTCAGATAGTCTACATTTTCTTTACAAAATAAACAAGTGAACTTAATTAACTAATTCAATTTTTAAAAGATGTGATCAGTGCCATGGAAAAAATAAGATGACAAAGGAAGATAAGAGTGCCAGTTTTGAGGAGGAAAGGCTTCCTGGGGTGGAATTCTAGTGAAAACCTTTTAAAAGAATTGAGGGAATTGGCCGTGTCAGTATTTGGGAGAAGAACCTCCATGCAAAGGGGTCAGGAAATGCAAAAGCCCTGGGATCCGCCCTCGCCCATGTGTTAGAGGACCCGGAAGGAGGCCGCAGAGGCAGGAACTCAGAGAGTAGAGACAGGCTTCCAGGCCTGGCAAGTAATGGGCCAGATCAGGCCTGACCTTTGTCTAGTGTAAGGAATTCTACTTTTACTCTGAATGAAGTGGGAAGCCATTAAGCGTGACAAAACCTGACTGGGTCTCTGCTGTGTGGACCAGACCACAGGCAGGCAAGGATGAAAGCAGAGATCCCAGTCAGCAGGCCACCGTAGTAATCCGCGGTCCACGCTTCTTCCCCTTGTCCCTGTTTCTTGGGAGGAATAACTAACTCCAAATCACCCCATCACCCTTCCTTTGCCCCCCAAGCTCCTGGCAGCAATTACCTTGGCTTGCCAATAAGTGCCTCCTCCCAGCCTCCGGGAGTGTGATTAATGAGCCCCCTGCATGAATGTGTTACCAGGTTAAAGCAAAACTGATGCAAAATGATGTGAAATCATAGAAATTATAACAGGTCCTAAGGGTGTTTTGAAAACAAGGCTGCTGATTTTGCAGTGACAAATACAAGGAGAAATGTGATCAGGATGAAGTTAAAAAATGTAAAGGGACCTGGTGAAAAATTTGTCAGTATGTCTCTTGGATTCCCTGCTTGGCAGGATGTTTAGATTCTTGATCACAACTCTGAGTTCTTCAGCATCCCTGGAATGCAGGAGGATGATTTATCAAGCACTCACAGTTCGATGGAAGTCCCATTAATACACTTCTTTTCCTCTCTCTGAAACACTTCAAAGGTAATAAAAAACTTTGTGATCAATGTTACTAGATTACAAAACTTGCTTCTATATTAATTTGTGTAATAACTATGTTATTTTTTTTTTTTAAACAGAGAAAACTCAACAAAATGGCTAAAGCAGTTTAGGACTTTATCTCACAAACAACATAGGTTCATAAAGTCAGTGTTACATCTTTCTTTGCATCTTTTGACTCTGTGTCTTCAGTTTGTGGGCCAAACCCCTTCAATTGAGTTTCAATACAGATTTTTCAGGTATGTCTGTCTTAAGGTAAACACAGCTGAACCCCTGGTGGAGAAGAAGCCACCTTACCTATTCATATAGCCACACAGACGATGCCAGCAAAGGTCAAAGGCCAAAAAGATTTGGAAAGCAACCAATGATGCTTGCTACAATTCCTCCCTCAAATGTTACAGAATTACACTTTTATCAGTCAGGCTGTTTTGAATCTAAGTAGTTTGACTTAAGTCCCCTCACCCAGAAAATCAGGCCTGAAATACTGAAAGGAGTTTGATTACATGTTACAAGAAAACAAAAATCTGCTGACCAATATCCCACATGAACATAGGTGCAGAGCCCTTAACAAATATCAAATCAATGCCAAATAATGTAAAAAATGTAATACTGTACATCACGCTGGATGTTTATCCCTGGAATGCAAGGTTAGTTACTCATGTGAAAATCAAACAACGTAATTCACTATATTAACAGATTAAGTATGGGAACAAAAGGAATACATTCATATATATGTAGGAAAAGCATTTGAAAAAATTTAACACCCATCATGATGAATATTCTCAGCAACTTAAGAACATAAATGAATATCTTTGTTGTGATAAAACATCTGTAGAAAGCTGCCAGCTCATGTGATATTTAGTAGTGAAATGAGGCCAGAAAAAGAAATAAGAATAAGAGAAAGAGGTACAATTGTTTTTATTCTCATATGACATGAGTTCATATATAGAAAATTGTCAGGAATGCACAGAAGAGCTTCTAAAACTAATGTGTCATTAGCTGGATACAAGTTCAAATTATAAAAATCAACATTATTTCTACATTCTAGCATGAATATTTGGAAAATGAAATATTTAAAAGTGCATACCAAAACCATGAACTACTTGTGGGTAAACTTAACAAAATATGTCCAAGGCTTTTACACAGAAAAACACCAAATATTACTGATAAAACTTATGGAACACTTAAAGAAATGGGAAAGAGTCATTGTGTTCAATTTAGAATTATGTTTTCACCCAAATGGAGAAATGTAAGGTTAAGATGTAAATTCTCTCCATATTTATCTAGAGATTCAAGACAATCTAAACAAAATCCCAATAGACTTTTTAATAGAAATTGGCAATCTGATATCAAAATTTCTATGGAAGTACAAAAGATCTTGAAGAGGCAAAGCATTTTTTAAATAAAGAACAAAGCTGGAGGACTCACACTACGTGGTATCAAGTTCTGCTATAAAGCAAAAATAAGCAAGATTATTGTGCAAAACTAACATAAAGATAGATTTCACGTTGATGGAGAATAAAATCATCAATTCACAAATAGGCTCAAACATACTGCAGTGGGGATAGGATAAT